ATTTGAGATGAAGTTTCAGCCCAGATGAGTGGTTATTACCTTTAATTTCCTGGTCTCTGTGGGCTTGTCAGTAATGTTTTGCCAGGCTGGTTGCTTTTAAATATATGTCAGAGCTGACACAAGAGGCAGCAACATCTCAGCAGTGTATTATTTACCCAGGAGTATATGCTATAAACTGTAATATAAATATATCATTACATATACATTAAAGTGGAATTTGTTTTGATGCTCCTGTAGTTCTCTTGCAAACAATACTTACCAGTTGGAGGAGGAATGAGATGCATCTGAGCTTAGACATGTTGCGGTGACTTCTGAGGAAGTCGGACTGTTTGTTTTCACCAGGAAACGCTGACCCTCAGGCTGGACAGTCGTCTGCAAAGTTCATTTTTGTCAGCTAGCTTTGGCTCTCTTTGTTTTGCATGACACCTGGATGGTGCCTGGTGCTGTGACTTAAGCATCTAAAAATGGTGTTGGAAATGCTGTGTGGGGCAGAGAGAGCAGAGACCTTGTGCTCCGCTGCTGTTTTGCTCCAGAGAACCACGCTGCCGCTAGGATTAGGACTAGATCAAGTTTAGCCAAGCCCCAAGATACCTTGGTGCAGAGCCTTTCTTCATTCTTGGCCCTCGCGTAAAGTGCCCTTGTAACAGCCAACGTGGAGATTGGGAGAAAGAAACAGACAATTTTTAAGGAGGACTCAAGGCGTGAGTTATGAGTTTCTATAAGGCATTAGCTGGAGTTGGGGAGGGGTATGTTTCAGTGGTCATAAGGAGGCTGTTGTGTTTACAGACACAAAGTCCTTTTGTATTATTATCCAGCCCATGGGTACATAATCACCCTTTACTACAGAGTAGCTGGTGATAAAAACAAGCGGCACAGCATGAGCTGGGAGTGAGATATCTGTCACATAGCATTGTTGTGCCCATGTGTATAGTCCGGGCGTTTTACTCAAGATTTAGCCTTCCGCAGTACAGGTGACGTTGCTGTGCTACTAATGGGCACAAAGAAGCAGGAGTTAGTGCAGAGGTATCTGGAGGTGGTCTTCAGCATGCCTTCGTGCAGCCGCTTTTCCCTGCTGGCTGGCAGCTGGGGCTGTGTTGTCCCTCAGAAGAGAAGAGCTGTTGCTGTTGAGCTGAAAGCATCGGCAGTGGTAAGTGGTACTCGGAGGAGTACCAGGTGGGAGTGGGAGCATGAAGAAGTCAGATTTGGCTCTTTAGTGGCCTAAGTAAATGGAATGAGAGTTGGCAGTGTCTAGTTCAGAAAACTGCACACCACCATTAGAGTAAACGGCCTCTTAATCAGGAGGTGTGCTACAGTGTGATTACCCAGCAGGTCATGTCTGGAAACTCAATGGCCAAATGTTTAAAGGCATTAAAGGCTCATAAGGATACAGAGGGGCACCAAATGGCGTTTTCAGAAGTGCTTCTTATTACTTAGATTGCAATAAAATCCGTGGGAATCAGACAGTGAAGTACTTCTTAATGCCTCCCTGAGAAAACTGCAAGGTGCCTGTTTTTATTAATAGGTGCCCACGTGCCTCTTAAAAGCCTGGCTGTCAGAGACGTCCCCTCCCAGGTAAGGCTTAGCAACGGTGAGTAGCAGAGGTGGAAGAAGGATTAAGACGCAAACGCTGCAGTGTTTGGGCCCTCCCTGTGTAATGCCTGTGTGTGGCTGTTTTTGCGTGCCTGATACCACAGAACGGTGGATCACACAGGGACGTGCCATCAGAAAGGAAGGATGTGGCACACAGACCTCCCAAAAGGTATCAAAGCAGCGAACAAAATATCAGAGCATCGTCTCGGATTCCCATTCCCCTGAGCAGATGAAGAGGGAAGGAGGACATGTGTACTACCTTGTTCCTTGGATCACAATAGTAGAAGTACAACCTGGCTCCAGGGCTAAATAAAGAAGGAAAACAAACTACGCCGTGCTACCAGCTGTGATGGAGAAAGGCCTGCTGTGTTCTCTGGGAGTATTACTAGTGTTACCAGTAGCTGGGGATACCCACATAAAATTGTAGGAATGGAAGGTGGAAAGGTAAACTTCCAACAAAGTTAATCAAAAGTATGAAGAAATAGAAGATTATTCTTTCACAAAATTCAGTCTTTTCAAAATCTTACTGCAAATATTATCTTGCAAAATAATCTAGCAATGTTGTATCTTATAATATCAGGTAATTAGTAATACATAAGAGAGAGAACAGGCCCTTGAAAGAGAAGGCTTAGAAAGCCTTCACCAACTGTGTCAGGGACTGTAGTTTAAATGCAAAGCTAGTGAACATTCAGATGCATAGTGGCAATCAGGCACCCACGGAGAGAATTCATCAAGGAGCACAGAGGCGGATGAAGCTGCAGAGCAGAATACTTGTGTGAAAGTAAATGCCAAGATGTGAACAGAGGAACTGAATTCCATGCAGTGGAAAGCCAGAGGGTCCTGTGGAGTAAAATCTGATGATGAAAAGTGGGATCATAGGCAGACTGGCAAGTACACCGTCATGTCAAAGTCTGCAGGGGAGAGCAGCTAAAGAAAAACTGGAGCACAATCAGGAAGCAGGCACCGATTTAGAATTTGGATGCATGTGATACTAGGCTGTGCAAAGTGGCAAAAATGAACGGTTTGTAGGGACCAGGCAGGCACCAGATGTAGCAATATTACAGTAACAGGCCATAGGCAAGAAACTGAATGTCAGGTGCATAAAGAACATACAAGACTATGGAGATTTCTTCGGGATTATTCAGGGGAAGAAAGCAACATTGGCATCTAGCAACACTGAATGACAATTACATGATGTCTTAATCCTGTATGTTAGCACAAACATAATAGCGCATAGAAAGTACTTGGGCTCATGCTTCCAGTAATATAGAGGACACAGAAGCCACCACTGTCGGTGCAAACAGGAAAATAAATGATACTTAGACAGCTACGCTGCTCTCCGGACTTGAGCTCATATCTCTACAGAGTCAGGGTGGTAGCCCAGGGTGCCTGCAGTGGGCACTCCTGGCTGGGATAGCAGCACCTCTGCAAACTCTGCCTTCGCTGAGGTGTGCGGAGAGAGGATCGTAGGAGCTAAGGAGGGGGTAGCACGTGTCTTACACTGCTGTGATCTTCGCTGCTTTTACGGTTGCACCCTGAGGCTGTTCACTCAGCTCTGGTTTTTCATGAGGTAAAAACAAAGTGTTTTGTCCTACCAGAAAAGGGTGGGGACTGATCTGTTTTCTGGTTTTTTGGAGGCAGCTTCTCTAGCTCAGAGCAGGCATACACTAGTGGCACAACATGAAGTTTGAACCAGCCGATTTCTCACTTACATCTTGGGTGAGGCAGTTGCCAGGTCTCTCTGCCCAGCATCTTCTGCAATCCCTAACCCCATTGACCAGCTCAAAATAACAAATGCGGGACCATTCTCCAACTATACCTACATTTTTGGGTGGGTTAAGGGTTTTTCTGTAAGTTGATATTATCTCACTGATGTGACAGGCAGGATTAATAAAGCCTTAGTCACAGAACCAGAAAGAACGCTTTCTTTTACACATAAGACTAAGAGCTGCCTGGAACCTTCCTTGTTTGAGCAAGCAGCCAGAAAGTGAGGGGAAATAATGAGAAAAAGGAGATGTACTTGTCACTACAACTTCATGATTGAGTGTAGATGAGGTGAAAGAGGAGAGAGCTTGCTGCTTGTTGCCAAAAGCTATGGAATCAGAGAGCAGTGTCTTCATATTTTGCTGTATGATTTCCCAATGATACTGTGTTATTATACAGCAAAGCAATATAGGTTAGCAATGCAATATCAAGACATGACACTGTAATAATTATGTGGGCTTCTTTGGAATGAGATGACCTTGAAATCCATTAATTAAGTAGCAATATGTGTCTTGGTTTAATTCAGTGTCATTTGTAAGTGTAAAAAAATGTCCCTATGTTTCTGTTCCCAAAATAAATCAATATTTACTGTTTGTTAGATACCATTTGGAAACAGAAAAGCTGCAATGGAGATCTGTGAACTGCTCAGAATCTTTGTTGTATGTAACAGGCTCTGTCTGAACCTGCAATTTCTGTACAAACGTTGGATCCTACTTTGTAGAGGCATTCTGCATATGGATGTGCATGCAGCATTTGGTTAGACTTAAAAAAGTCCTTTGCTCAAGTAAACCATTACAAGTCCCATCAGCCCAGCTCTGCCCTGTCTTTACAGCAAAGATCTGTTGCTACAGGTCTTTGCATTACTTCAGGAGAAGTTTCCAGTCAGGATTCATTTTTTACATAGATGAACGGGGACTTTGGTGAGACTACTCAAAAGAGTTTGCCCTACATACTTTTGCTGAGCATTAAGCTTTGAAAAATGAACGACTACATTTAGAATTGCCTTTCAACATTAATAGCTGGAAAAGATCTGCCCCGTTCTCTATATGAGAGTGGGGATTTATTTGCTGCGGTAGAAGTGGAGTGGACTCCTACTTTCTCCATTCAGAGGTACGCCTGTTTTGGGTTGTGTTGACACCTTTTTCTTAAGGAGAAGAATATTCCTTATGATAAAAATAGTATACAGAGATGAGACTGCCTTCTGGAAATTGAATAGTATCTTCTTCTCCATAGATCCGTGACTTTTAACCAAAAGAGTACAAATTAAAAAACAAGCTTTCAAGGGTAAAAGGTTAGCTTCACCAAAGAAGGTACTATTGCAGAGATGTACATGTTGAGCTGATTTTACAAAGCAGTCAAATAGTTTTGCATTCTAAAACTTTTAAGATCTGCATGCAAGGTACAACTAAATTCCTCTGACAGGTACATGGAAATGCTGTTAATAACCGAATATCCCTTGTGTCAGAAATGTATTTTTGGAATGTGTAAGGCTAAAAGATGTCTTTTTTAATGCAGTATCATGAAGTTAGAAAGTCTGGGAATTGATAAAAGATGTGATCTTTTGCTCTGTGCCTTCACCGCATGCCATTTTAGGAAACTGTGGGCTTCATCTTAATCCTTGTATGTTCTTCTTTGTGTATTTTCAGGATTCGTCTTCGATTGGAACAGCCACGGTGGCTGGTCCCAGGACAAGTGCAATAATTGGAGATCAGGGAACACCACCGAAGGTCCAGCTCCCCCTCAATATGTAAGCAGCTCATCTCAGTCACTGCGTACTCTTTGTTTCCAATCGTGTGCGCTTGTGTGCGTGTGTTTGAAATCTGAAAGCCTGAATCTCGGCTCAAGAGCATTCTGAGAAGAGAGAGACTGCAATTTCATACATGACCCAGCCTCTACTGAAATTGAAAAATGAGTAGAGAAAGGCAAGACTTCCCCCTTTCTCTGTGAGCCCTTTTAGACTCCTGGTATATTTATTACAGCTGTACGAATCACTGTGAAGCAAATGAAATGCCTCTCAGCTAGAGAAAATCTTCTTCCTTCATTTAAAGCTCTTAAAAAGGCATAGTCCCATGCAATCAAACACCTGATACATTCATCATTAACCAGAAAAAATTACGCAATTGCATTTTTTCAGTGCCATAAACAAAGGCAACGAATGAACTTCATATCATGGGCATATGGGCTTATTGAATAGTGTGTAGAATAACAGAAGGTTGACTAGATACAGAACAAAAAGAGTAGACTTCATTATAATAAATCTCTTCTAGCCTGGTTGGTTTATCTGGTACCTGCCTAGTTATAGTACTGAACACTTTCCTCTCATTACATGTACCTTGTGAAAGCAGTAGAACTATATAGACACACACACATATGCACACCAGTATTTTAGGGTTTTATGATATGGCTAAAACAATATCTGAATTCACAAATAAAATCCTGAAATAACATAGCAAATCTGCTTTAAAGAGAATAGGGGAGTTGGAAAAGAACCAAAACAAATTTGTTCTTGGCTACTAAGGTGAGAACTTCATACCTGAGGAGTACCACACATCACTGACTGCCCCACAGAGAGGTCTTGTCATCACCCTGTGGTCACCCTGTGCAGCCTGTGTGGCACATAGTGGGGCACAAATTTATTTCAAACATTGCCCAGACTAGGAAGCAGTGACTGGCAGTATTTCCAGTATTTAATTGCTGAATCAGGACATTTTCCAGCTCTCCGGCAATGCCCCTGCCTCTGTGCCTCAGCCAGCCTCCCCTTCTCCCTCTCATGCTTCTCCTGTTGTCTCTCCCGTGAAGCAGCCTTGTAATCTGGTCTGTCATTTTGCATTTGCAAGACAAGTTCCAGTCAAAGAGGAAGTGTTATCTGAAAGCTGTAGCAGAACTGGGGAGGTACAACCCTAGACAGAGCCTTGGGGCTTCTGCGTTATAAGTACAGTCATAGGCAGCTCCCCGAGGCCAAGAATATGAGCTACCTTCTTGCTTAGCCCTTTTTTTAGGGAACTTTTTATAAAGATTTTGGCTTTCTCTAGCTCCTTCTCCCTAACCCTTAGCCTCACTGTTTCACATAGCCCAGAATAACTTGCTATTACATTTTGCAATATTTCAGATAGATTGTTCACCAGCAGCGAACACCAGTGTGTTAAAACACACTTTCTTCTCAGTTGTAGAGAGTTTGCTGGTGAAGTTTCACACCTAAAATCTAGAGAACGGTGAAACGTGACCAAGTCCAAAGGCTTTGGCTTAAGGCAAAATCAGCCTCAGCAAATGGGACCACTAGCCCTGATCCCCTGCCAGAGGAAAAGCCCAGAAATGCTTTCTGGGGAGGGAAGCTGCTTGCACGCAAATTGTTTTCAGCCATATACAACAGCAGGCATCCCACCAGCTCTTCCACAGCCCTCTCTCTGCCAGCACACGGGGTGTACGCCTGTCCCCATGGGGCAGGCATGCCAGCCACGGCTAGGCAGCAGACCCAGGCTGGGCCTGTCACTGGGTTTGGAGAAGCCCCTGCCTCTTTGCAGACCAACAGAAGAAACCCCCAGGGGTGGTCATCCTCACTGCCTCATGTAGGTGGTGGGATCGCTGGTCCATGAAGAAAGTGCTGATCACCTCTGTTGTCCCAGGGTCACATACAAGTTTTCATCATTTTAGCAATACAGAGATTGGTCAGTTTTGGCATGGAGTCCAGACTGGGCTGTTGTACACCTTCTTTTAGTCTCTACAAGGATTTTGATACTCCCTCCGGAGGATGTTTATGCTCATTGTGATATTGGTTATTCAGGCTTACTGGAGGCTGAGTTGGGGGAATTGGCAGGGAGGAACAGAAACAAACTCGTAGGAGAGCAGGAGATAGCTGCAAGGGAAAGAAGCCTATGATCCACTTAGGGTAATTTTCCTTCTACCTTCTTCAGCATCTCAATCTGTAAATTACATTATTACATGTCATACATTACATATCTAAAATGCTCTGTCCTTGACCCCTTGCTTTACCCATCCCTTCTGAATATGAGCCCGGTGTAAGCAGCAATTTAAAAAGAGGTAGTCAAAGCCACACTTTCTGCTCCCTCGAGTGAGTGCAGTCTTAGCACTTTCTGTTTTGTCCTAGCAGAGCACTGTGCTGAAGGATTAGCGCTGAAGCATGCAACCTTATTTCATGTCAGGGTGACGCATTTTAATGTTCTTCAGTTCATATGTATCCTCATGTTTTCCACCAGGTGAACAGCTACAGACCTGCTCAGGACCACCTGATTATATAAGCTAAACAAAGGATGTGCAGGATGGTTTCTCCCATCTGTTGACTAATGAAATGCAGTTTCTGATTAGGTCTTTGTACCCCATCCATGTGGTAGACAGAGGCGGCACATCAGTCTAAGGATGCCCCAAGGAGCTGTTACCAAATATTTCATATTCTACTCATTACTGCTGTTTATTTACTGCCTTCAGAATAAAAATAAGGAAATCTACTGGTACCATAAAGGAGTAGAACCAAGAAAACTAACAGGATTTATTCCTCAATTATATTTCCTGGAGAGCAGAAGTAAAAAGCCATGTATCATTTTTATTGGCTGCAAGTCTACAATCACAATGGTTATAGTTTTCATTATTTCTGTGGTTTGCTGCTATAAGGTGGGCAGAAAGCCTCTTCTCACCTACCTCTGAGCCTAAGAGCATTCTGCTGCACTTTGTAGTGTAAAAGTACTTTCCATAAGTGCTTCCCAATTTGCCCTAATCTCTCTGCACTGTCTGTAAGGCACAAAGCAAAAAAAACTCAAGAAGGCACAATCTTAATCAAGAATTACCAGAAATCCCTTTTTGCATTTGTAGAAAGGCAACAGTACCAAAATAAAAATGGTATTTACAAAGAAAGTGTGTTCTCTGTGTGCATTCTTGCTATCCTATCCCAACTTTCCATTATTCCCCAAAGTGCAAGCAATCATTCTTAATTTTCAACAAGGATCTCTCTAAACAGAGAGAATATCTTTAGGGACTTTAAGTTGGAGTCATTTCACAATACTAGACATATCCCTGAAGTAGTAATGGAAGAAAAAAGAGAGATAAAAAGAAAGATTCTAAACAAAGGGAATAAATAAAAGCTGTAATTGAATAAATAAAAAGTTCTACATATTGGGTCCTGTATTAAATATTTATTAGAATACTTGCAGACAAAACATCCAAAGCCAAATTCTACCACTTTGCTTACTTGAGCAAAAATCCCCTTGTAGAATTTGGCCCTCTGTCACTTTTTGTTTTACCCACATAATACAAGAATTACCATACTGGATCAGAACAGCTCGGTGTGTTGTTTCTAAAACTGGCCAGCATAAAAAGCATCAAGAAGGCTGCAAGAAAAGCTGCTTTAAACTTTTATAAAGTAGCCTATCCATATGAAAAGTTTTTTCTGAAAATCCGTAGTAGAGGCAGCTTCAACCCTGAAGTGTATGAATATATACTTCATCCAGATGTTAGGCTTTGAAAAGCTTTCCCAGTGAAGTCCTGGTTACTCTGGCTGTCTCTGTAATTGCCTTGTCCTTCTGAAACTGCTGCTAAATTCTTAACTTCAGTGCTGCTTTGTGGCAGTGTTTTGCTTTGGTTGTGCCTGGGGCAAGATGTCCTATTAATTTCTAAATTACCCCCTGACTTTAATCTGATTAGTTATTCCTGTATTGTCTCAGCACCCACTTGATCTTGTTTCTGCCGTTCCTTGTTTGGTGTGCTTAATGATGTCCCTTTTTAACCCCCATTTCTGAGCAGTGTTTCTGCTCACTTTCTGCTCTGTGGGGCTGGAGTCAAAGCGGGACAGGCTGTGGTCGACGTCAGCTGTGTGCTTTCTTTTTGTGTGACCTCTCCCTGCAGCTACCTAGCCCTGTACGCCTACAAGCCTCAGAAGAACGATGAGCTGGAGCTCCGCAAAGGTGAGATGTACCGGGTCATTGAGAAGTGCCAGGACGGCTGGTTCAAGGGGACGTCTCTGAGGAGTGGGATGTCTGGCGTCTTTCCTGGCAACTACGTGACGCCTGTTTCAAGGTGAGGACCACTGGCTGAGGTGGATATGCCTGAGCTGGGGCTGAGAGGGATTCTGCTTCTGGAAGATGCTGAAAACAATGTAGCTCTGCTTTTACACCACATTCCCCTTCCAGATATTTTCTGGTGTCATTGCAGACCTGGGTAATGAGACTTGCTGGTTGGAGCACTGGAGTTATCCATGTTCTCAGAAAACTTCACTAGTTGTGTTAGATGATGACATTTACAACCTCTGACTTTACAAAGTCTGATGAGCCCAGCTTTTACTATTGTAAAGAATCTGTTGGCTAATGATTTTTTTATTGTTATAAAACTACTGGACATGTAATGGGGATAAACAAAATAATGAACGCTTGTGTCTTGCTTTTCAGTAGCTCCTCACGTAGATTTTGTTTTTCTTAAATCAAAGGTCTTGGATTGTTTGGACTAATGCTTGAACCATTAAAATTCAGAAGTGGTAGGAGAGTTCAGTAAATTGTGTGATTTTAGCTCCCCCTGTCTCAGTTGCAGAAGAGGAGAAGAGGAAAGAATAGCATGTTTGGGGAGGAATGCCATTTGTCGGAGTTCGTATTGGACAACACCAAATCAACGGGTGTTTCTGATCTAAAGCCCACTCTGAAATAGTCTCAAAGCTGAGGAGAAAGTTCATCAGTGTGTCCTAGACTGTTTTGCCCCACGTGCTCCTTGCAGGTGAATGTTGCCATGTGTACGCCCATATCTCCTTTAGAGCAACCGTAGGTTTGCAAATCAAACTCACTCCTTCTCATATGCTCTCAGTCTCTCCTCCCACATGCACACAGTCTCCACCATCTTTCACTCGTCTCCAGAGAAAGGCACCTCACAACACAAACAGCGTTGATCTTGAAAAATTGATGCAGGGTTTTTCCATCTTCAGTTTATGTCAAGTTTGTAATATGTGGACTGAGCAAGACCGAAAGTTAAGAGCAGATTAGAAAACCATAATGAAGCCTGCTGACAGTCCTAATATTGCATTTCAGTCAAAAAAAACGTTAATTCATGGGGCCTTCACTGTTCATCAACTTAAATGTATTTACCTGGTTTTATAGAGCCCCTTGGCTGCCTTCATTCCTTGCCTCTTCAGCTCTTAATTAGTAAAGAAGTTTGTGCTGAAGTGTTGGTGATCTGAATCAGCAAGACTTTATTAAATGCAGCATGTCACAGCTAGAACAAGACAGAGAGAAGTGCTAAAGGGCAAAAGTGCTTTCCACAAAACCCGAAAGCAGCTTTATGATTATATTTATGATCCTGTAAGCTAATTAAGTTCCTGTGTAAATCACCCTCAGTGATAACAGCAAGAAAAATATGATAGCAACAAAATCTCCTATTTGCTGCACTTTCAACTTACTTTGTTCCCCTTTGACAGCAAAGCAGAGGATAAGATTCATGCATGTTTTTCTGCCACGCCCTACAAAACCCAAGAAAAAGAAGTTGCCCATGAATTTAATAACACTGAACTAGATTTATAAGCTGCCAAAGTACATGTGTGAGCAGAGCATGGTGGAAAAAGGACAAGACCCTTTAGATGGACAGACAGGCACAGGGCAGCAGAGAAAATTTGCCACATCCAACATCTGTCCAGCTCTATGGGAGTCACAGACAGTTTCCGTACCTGTCGGTGTGCATGTTTGCCTGAACATAGCTTTCAGTGGACTATTAGGTGTGCTTTTCTGGCAAACTCAATCTAGTGCAGATGGCCACGCCAGCTCCAGCTGAACCTTGCTGCTACCCTGCCAGCTCTTCACAGCAGATGACAGACAGTCAGATTTCCATCTGGTGGGATTCCCAGCTTTTCCCTACCTGGAGGCTGATGAAAAAAAATTTGAAGAAAAAAAAATCAGATTCATTTAGCAAAATGTAATCCAGGCAAACCTTGAACAATGAGATGAGTCAAGTCAATGACACCACAGTGTTGGTTTTCCTCCTGTGATTTTGGGGGGAGGGGGGATTGGGCAGAGGGGATGGCTATCTTTTGCACTTTTGGACCATATCTTCCAGCCTGAGTTTTAGTCCCTTTCTATCAGAATTTCACTCTTTTGGCTCTTCCCCTTTCCACTCTTTTCTTAGGGTTGCTTCTTCTGTCTTTTTGTCCTCTGATTTGGGCCAGATTGTTCAGCATATTCGTTCTTTCTGCTCTTTCCTCTCTGTGTTCCCACACAACAGTTTTGGGGCCCCAGAAGTTCTCCCAGTCCCACCCCCCATAGGTTGGTCTTGCACCCTTTCTGTTATCCTCTCCTCCCTTGTTAACCCCCTGCACTGTCTCATTTCCATTTCCTCCACCATACTTTGTTCTGCATTATATCCCCTCTGCTGTCCTTTCCTGGAAGAGAACCTTGGCACATGGAGCAGCCCAGGAGAGGAGAACAGCACAAAACAATCCCTCTGTTTCATGGCATCTGCTGCTGGGGAAGGAAATTGCTCAGGAACCTGACTAAGAAACTCAGAGAAAGAGCTGCTGAGCAGCAGCTGAGTTTGTCCATTGGTGTCCTTCTGTCCTCCCCAGTGTCCTCCTGCCCTGGTCAGAGAGTTTCTAGCTCAGTGGTAAGAGGACTAAGACCTGCTCTAAGCTGAACTTATTGCATAGAAGAAAGAGCCTTGTGCCTTCCCCCTGAGGTCTCCCCAGCCACTCAGATGAAATACAAACTATGCCTACAGTTTAAGTGAGCAGTGAAAGAGGGGTCGATTATTGTTTGGATTTCCTTTTCAGTAAGGTCAGCTGCATTCCCTTCCCTTTTGCATTTTCTTAGCAAGTCTGAGCTAGGGCAGGTTACATTGGCAGTCAAGCCAAGCCCTGCCAAGTCTGCTGCTTTTCAGTCCCATTCAACAGCCACACACAGATTTGGTGTTATCCATCTTTTTTTCTCCCTGTGGGGCTGTATGCAGGTTTGGTCCTAAGAAAAGATCTCTGAGTCTGTTTTAATTATCACTCCTTTAGTGCCTGTAAAATAGCCTCTGGCACACAAAATGACATTAGGGAGATATCCATTTCTTCTGAATTTAGATTTGTGATTTTATTAGAAACTATTCAGACAGAAATGTAGCTTAAGAAAAAAAGTGATGAGAAAAATGGTCTTTTCCATTTTTACCCTGCACTTCTTCCCATAGGATAAAGGGGTGAAAATGTCCTCCAGCATGCTTACGACTGTGTCTTATAAAGATAAATATGTATCTGTATCTCAGTTTTACTTTAACACCTGAGAGGGTATCATGTTGAACCCCTAAGTAACTGGGGGTGCTTATCAGCATTGTGGCTGGGTATCGGGCTCTCTGCAGCATGCTTACGCTGTGCCTTGTCTCCACGCAGGGTGCCAGTGGGAGCTGGGCAGCCCAGGAACAGCGGAGCCGGAGGAGCTCCGGCAACGAAAGGAGCCCCAGGAGCCATCCACCCCATCGGGGCCGGTCACACCAATGCCGCCACAGCTGTCAGACCGGTTGTTCCTATCACTGCGCCTCAGACGCATCCCCAGCTACAGGCAGCCTCTCCACAGCTGAATAACTGTTTGAGGTATTCAGCTCAGCAGCCAGCAGCCAGCCAGACCCGCAATGCCATGCAGATGGGTACGTGCACGCCCGCCGGTGCCTCTTGCCCTGCGTCGCCAGGATTGATGTTGTAGCCCTCGAGCGCAAGCCTCTCGAATCTGCCCGTCCCCACAGCTTGCTTTCTCGTTTTAGTCACAGCTCAGTCAATGTGGAATAGAGTATGTTTTATTTGCTTGTAATATTTATGGGCTTCTATTGATCTCTGGGAACCACGTTGTGTTTATCAGATTGTTCTGTTGCTACAGCTGAAATAGATTATAGTGTTTACAAATATTTATACAATTTATCTGAGTGAAAGCAAGCACCCTGCATACTGAGGAGATTAACAATTCTGAGTCCGGTTGGCTTGCTGACGAAAAAATACTGCCCTTATCGCAGGGCAAGTAATACACGACTTAAAATTAAGAAGCATTTCATTGGGCTTCAGGGATGAAAGGTATTTATTAGGCAGAACAGGACCTGGTGTTAGTGATAAAGCAAAAGATCTGAAAAATACTGCCACCTTTTTGAAATGAGAATAAGAGCTTCTCGCACCATGGGGCCTCTGTTCTTTCTAGGTTCCCTTTCTGATGTACAGCACAATTTTCTAGAGTACAATTTATTCCCCTTTCCCTGAAGTTAAACAGCTCTGATGTTGAATAAAGTAAAAGTAAACCCTGTGGTGGAACTTTATAGCAAAATTTAAAACATTTTGTTTCTGGTATTTTATAGGGATGTGAGCCATTGTGTTTACAAAGGCAGATCAGTAAGGACTGTGACTGTTGAAAACAGGTCTTATATACAAAACAGAGCAGGCACAAATGAGAAATACGCTGTGGTTAAGTCATGGATTCATACCTTTTGAAGCCAGAAGGCACCATTATGACTGTCTAATCTCACCTCCTACACAGTCCAGACCAAAGGGAAAAAACCATAATCAAATACGTGTGAATCTCAATCTCGAACAGTGCAGACTTCTCTGCTCAACAAACAGTGGCAGGACTTCACACGGCATCCATGTCACACTGGGGAATAATCGATTTATCCTCATTTTGTCTAGTTCAGAAAGTGCTGCTTTCCCCTCAAGTCACACCCTTCCAAAAGCCCTTCTGCTCCCACAGTGTAAAGGCAGAAATGTCCCCTCTTGGGCAAGGCTCTCAGGAAGCATTCGGGTGCTCCTGGTGCCTCCTGTGCCCATGCCAACAGGCAGATGGAGTCCCCTGAAACTGAGGGGGATCATTTTGACAGGTCATTTTGCCCCATGCACTTGGCGTGCCCCACACATTCCTTCCATGGTGCTGCTGTGCTACACCTCCAGCAGCTGCCCTGATTTAAGATTGCTCCTCCAGGTCACTCTGACATCTTAAAGTGCCAAGGTGTTGGCAGGCAGGGTGATCCAGGGATCACAGAGCTGCTCCAAAACCTCCTAAGCAGGGAGTTTTCCAGCCCTTCCAGAAGGTTCATGAGATTGTTGTTTTAATTAAACAAACCTTTGCCAGGATAAATAAAGGAAACTTTTTAATGATTATTAGTATTTTTCTCCATAATGGTTGTCCTCACCAGTATCCTGTGGACCAGAGCCCCTTAAAAGGTCTCTTTAGTCCTGCAGGACAGGGCAACGCACACTGACTTTTGGGAAAGCTTTCCAAGGGAGGCAAGCTGGCACAGTATTCAAATCACGTTTCTGTTGGCTTGCAATATACATGAGTAACAAATCAATTTTGCACAAGGCCACTAATGTAGGAATACACCCAAAATGAAATATGAGTGGTATAGAACAAAAATAGCCTTCAGTGAGCATTGCTAATTAATAGCATGTTTGATGCAGCAGAGTCCAGATCCAGAGATCCCAGAGCAAAGGCATACATTGTAACAGCAAGCAGATGAAATTACAGAATAAAATGTGAGAGCTCTGCTCAGAGTTGATTTTTCTCAGGCCATTTATTTTACTGTTTTTCATGTTTTCTGTTTCCTTTGTGTCTGGAAACACTGAGACCTATATGAAAGAAGTAATGTACCTAATGTGATTATCAAATTAGTCTTCTGCATCCAGGTACATGCATTGAAATTCCATTATTGTGCTTTTCCTCTAAATTGCTCCCTATAACCAGTAGTTCAAAACCTTGACCCTGCAAGCTTAACCATGCCAAAAAATTAGATTTCTGGCAGCAGTGGTTGCTCATCACACAGGTTCCAAATGGGAAAATCAGAAGGAGGGAATCACTTCAAGATAAACAGTGGTGCCCTGTCTGGCTCTCTGGAAAGGAATTGCACATTCCAATATATGTTCTTGGTAAGCCAGGGAGGGGAAAATGGTAACTAATAGTAAGAATAGTCTTGAAGGCGTCTGTAATTACAACTTTTAGGCCATTCCTCATGCTACATGGTAAAATCACATCAAGTTCAAGATTGTTTAATGATAGTTTGGTTGATTTGCTATGAGCAACATTACTAAAAAGAGATGTTATAGAGTCAAGGAGTTACCATGAGAGAATCATGTAAACTTTGGAGGTGCTAATCTGATGATCACTGGCCCATCATGTTCAGTATCACTTCAGATAACAGGGCATAAGGCTGGGGGATGAAATTCCCTCCTGGCAGGAGTGCTCAGCTGGTGTAGTGAGTATGATTAATGGCACTCCTTATCATTTCAATCCCTGGTAATGGGTGCCACTGTTAACCATAGAAATAGAAAATAGTGGTGTGAGTTGTTCTAGCATTGTTGTTTAGTTATAGATTGAGTGAACTCCAGCTGGTCCTGCATAAAAATGTATCCTTTGGATGAATTTGTAAGAAAACCACAGATCAGAGTGGGTCAGAAATTTTCCAGAAAAAAGCTTCTTGGTCAAAAAAAAGCTGATTTGTTAGACTCAATGCTTTTTGTCAGGAATGGACGTAGTTCAAGCAGATTTCAGCCATGAAGCCATCCTGGCTCAAGTTGCAAAGGGAATAGACAGCTGCCCAGAGCTGTTCTCTGCAGAGGAGAACAGCGCAGTGACCGGATCCTATGTTTTCATATCCCAGGTGAATGCCCTGACCAGAATAGAGGCTATTGTGTGGTGGGTAAGTAGGTTGTGCTCAGAAAAATGTTCAAAGGTTTGAATTTTGCACTGAGACAGAACTAACCCAGATTATGAAACCTTGAAAACATTTGTGAAATGGGCATTTTCCAGCCAGTCCTACTATTGAATCATTTAGGTGAGGGAATGTCTGAGTGTGGACTCGGCTTCTCGTCTGTACATATTTGAAGTGGAGCTGTATGTAGGTTACACTTAAGCAACCAACCAACCTGGAAGTCAAAGGCCTCATCGTTGTGGAAATGGACCTGGAGCTTTGTAACACTTTTTGCAATACAAAGCGTGCAACAGGCTTCCAAATCCCTGGAGAGCTGACCTCGGCAGTGTGTCGCGGTCACCATTAAACAGACAAGCACTAATTCCTGGTTCCTAGTGCTTGTAGGCGGGGTTTGCTCAGTAGGGACAGCAAGACTAAAAGGCACTGCATAGTCCCTTAGGGACTTTGCTGGCAGAGACGAGGCTGAGCTCAGAAATCCTCTGGTGGATTTCTGCTTAATTTATCTTGTGCAGCACAGTGATGTGCTGTTGATCATTTTGTTAGGGCTGAAACAAGAGACCTTCCTTTGTACCTGCTGGCTGCGAGGTCAGGATGGATCATCTGGGCTAACCCTTTAGGTCCCGTGTTGCGTTGCTCCAAAACCTATTAGGTTCGGAGGGGGTCCTGGAGGTTCAGAAAACAGCTCAGCTGGAACAAGATAAGGTATTTTAAAAACATAGTAGGCTTTTTATTTATTTCCAGCATGGGCAGGGATGGTCAGGCCATTCCCCAGTCACATCACTAGGGAGGACCAGCGGCCTTTTGCAGCCAGGAGGGGGATTTCTAGGATTTAGCCGAAAACACTTGCAGGCTGAGATACCCTGGGTTAAGGCTAAGAGCTCTCCGTCGGGCCCTGACACCTCCTGGCAGCAATGGCCACTGAAGGGCCAGGTCTGGCAATGCATGGGGGGCTTAACCGCGCTCTGTCCTCCCTCTGCAGCTCATCCCCCGGTGCCAGCC